TGCATACGCTTTTGTCTTCTAAATTTCCCTGGGAAATGGGAATATTTAGTTGAAAACAAAGGATTTCTTTGTCTTCTAATTTTCCCCTGCATGCTTGATGAGGGATATTTAGAAGACAAAAGTGTACCTCATTACCTCTGATTGGAGAGCTGTACCTCATCGAAAATCATCGGCACAACTATGGACAGTATCTGACAACACCGTCCTGTACACATTCGAACAATCACTTTGCCAGCTTTTATTCCACAATCTTGAACATTTCAATTGTGGGAGAAAATTCCGTTTATGCGCATGCCTAAAAAGAATGAACACGGAGATGTTTCTGCGTGTGCGTATATATGAAAAGTGTTCATACCACAATCATAAGACAATCAAACAGCATTCAAAATAGGCAACACACCATGCGCGATAACCTCTGCTACCATGTATTTACAAACTAAATGCATGCTTTGAGGGAAATTAGTGATTAAATAGTGGTGGGGACATTTAATCACTAATTTCCCTCAAAGCATGCGTTAACTTATAATGATAGTGCATTAAATTTGAATCGAAAAATTACTGCAGGACACACTTTAATTTTCCCGACAGCTAATTAAAATAAATGACAATGCCTCGGACAATGCCATGGCATGGGCGATTGCCAATTTGGGCAATTAAATGCATGTGGGACATGTAAAAAAGGTATACTGTAGTCTGTACATATTCCATAGACATGCGCCCGTATTCTAAAAGCTCACACTCACTGAGTGGAAGTTCAATCTGAGCTTCTCTCGAGTGTCATTGCTGTTTCTGAATAGCTGGAGGGTTAGTGTCGCACCTTACTATGTGACTACTCGCCCTCCAGCCATTCAAAAACAGCATTGACACTCAAGAGAAGCTCAGATTGAACCTCCACTCATTGAGTGTGAGTGAGCTTTTAGAATATGGGTATTAGTCTCATATACACAAAACATGCAGTAACAAGTGTTTTTTTCCCTATTCTCTAGATGTGCCAAGTCAATTCTGATGCAATCAAAAGAATACAACAGGACATAAAGATCTTGCATAGAGGTATAATGACCAATGTCATGTCAGTGTTATCAGTGACAGTAGCGACCTTAAGCAAACTGCGTCATCACAATGATGACGACCACCCGGAAGTAAAGTTACTGTTTTTTTGCTGAGTTTGCATATTGTACTATGAACTTGCGTTGTCGTCGTCTCTACGACGACTTGATTTTGCATGATTTCTCGTCGTCGCCATTACGTGGAATTTGCTTCAACATTTTCCAATTTTTTCAATGTATTTTTACATGGCATCTCACGAAGCTAACTCAGTAACCACTACCAGGTATTTATAAGTTTCATACTTCTATATTTACTATTTATTTGCCTCCCTGACTGTTACTAATTTGCAATTGAAATAGTGTACACTGTTTCATTTATATTCTATATTTGTATTAACTTGTCGGGGTCAAATTTGAATATTTTCTTCTTGTGCAAGACCAAACACATGAATAGCTAACTTCTGTATTGGATAGATATTATAAAGATCTGTGTACTGATTTAGTCCCTTACACTGAATGATGTGAATTATTGATTAAAATGTGAAAGTTCACCCAATATACATGTGATAATATTAATATTTATGACACATTGCATAAATTTTTCTAAACTAAACTCCCCTATTGAGTATTGATTTGCATCTATTTTTGGTCCCCCTCCTTTGGAATTTTCGCAAATTTTTAGTGAATTTGTAGCCTCCCCTGTAAAATTTCCACATATTTTTATTGAATTTCAGCCTTCCCTGTGAAATTTACACTTCTTGTTTTTACCCATCCCATGGAAATTCCTTGACAATTTCTGACCTAGTCATGTAGTGGAATTTCCTTATTAGTCTAGGACCTGTATATGAGTTTGTATGCGATTAATTTAGGACAGGTAATCTCAACTGTTTTAGGGTAAAATGACCATGGCGGTCAACATGGCATATGTGCGAAAACCTGAATCCGGGGCGAAAGTCCTGAAAATGACCCCGCCCTGAAACGGCAGTGTCGACATAGCTCTAACTTCAGAAAAGGAAAAGCGATAGCCTTTCTGAAGTGCTTATAGTGTTTAGAAGGGTTGCTTTTAGGGGTGGTCATTGAAGGAAAAATTTGTCGAAGTATAATATTTTACCAGAAAATGACTATGCACCACCCCAGGTAAATTGCTGATTATGCACAAAATAACTAATATGCCTGGCAGAAATTAAATATTCTTATTTCCTAAAAAAAATTATCATGGGGTGAAAAACTATGCTTAATTTAATATAAATATTGTTGATTTCATAAGGATTGTCATTATTTTCTTTAAATATAATACATTTTACTTCACTTACCCCCCACGAAAACACGATTTCAGCCATATTTTTTGCCATCTTGTTTGCTTTTTATCGCCGAATCTCACAAATATCATCCAGTTATTGTACTTTTACATAATCATAAATGGCTGAAGAAGATTTCAAAGAAGGTTTCATCCACTTTTGTAACAGTGTTTCTGTGGTGGCGAACATATTCGTGAAAATATTCAACCCCCCCTGTCATGTGTCCACGAGAAGTTTTCGCGAAGATTGCACGTGACTTTCAAATGATTTGTTTTTTATTTTGAACCTAAATGGTATACGGGAGGATTTTTCCTTCCTAATTGGACAAATGTTGCCAATTTTTGGATTGGGACTATTCTACAATGAAGTACTCTTGGATACTGTAATCTAAATACATATGGAAACGAAAAAGTTGCATTTATCAGACAGAGAAGCGGCGAGCCATTAAAATGGCGGCAATTTGGCGGAATATCGAAGGACACAATATCGAAGGTAAAATACACTGCACTGTTACAAAAGTGGATGAAACCTTCTTTGAAATCTTCTTCAGCCATTTATGATTATGTAAAAGTACAATAACTGGATGATATTTGCGAGATTCGGCGATAAAAAGCAAACAAGACGGCAAAATATGGCTGAAATCGTGTTTTCGTGGGGGGTAAGTGAAATAAAATGTATTATATTTAAAGAAAACAATGACAATCCTTATGAAATCAACAATATTTATATTAAATTAAGCATAGTTTTTCACCCCATGATAATTTTTTTTAGGAAATAAGAATATTTAATTTCTGCCAGGCATACTAGTTATTTTGTGCATAATCAGCAATTTACCTGGGGCGGTGCATAGTCATTTTCTGGTAAAATATTATACTTCGATAAATTTTTCCTTCCAATGACCACCCCTAAAAGCAACCCTTCTAAACACTATAAGCACTTCAGAAAGGCTATCGCTTTTCCTTTTCTGAGGTTAGAGCTATGTCGACACTGCCGTTTCAGGGCAGGGTCATTTTCAGGACTTTCGCCCCGGATTCAGGTTTTCGCACATATTTCATGTTGACCGCCATGGTCATTTTACCCTAAAACAGTTGAGATTACCTGTCCTAAATGAATCGCATACAAACTCATATACAGGTCCTAGACTATATTTATTTCTCATTAGCCTGCCTCCTCCACAGGACAGTCCATCTAGTCTAGTGAAATGACAGTCCATCTAGTCTAGTGAAAGGCTCTGTGCAAGCCCAACAAAGAAATTTTTTCTTGTTTTCCTCTCCCCCATTTGAAAGCGACTGGGGACGAGGCAGTCGATTAGTAGATATTTCTTGGAAAATTCTTGCTGATTTTAACCTACGTATATACCTCTGGAATTTCTCTTCCATTGTTGACCATACCATGGAAAATTATTCTATACGTTTTAGTCACTTTCAGGGATTGGATCCAGCATGATCTGGTAGGGCGGTGCTCTGCCAGCTCTGGTGCCAAGTTGTGTCTGTCATGTGCAATGCCCATCAACTTGCTTGACTACTGCAAAGTCTTGCTTGACTATTGTATTATGTTGTTCAGAGTTTGCTTATCATCATGTTATTACTCAAATTACTGTATCTCATTTGGTCTCTAATAATTTTTGCTTTACCATGAAAAATAGCACCCCCCCCCCCTGCACCACTTCTGGCCAGGGCTTAAGGGTGCCCTCCCCTCCATCCCTGCACTAGTTAGACCTACTCTGTGGTATTTCCACAGATTTGCCTTAAAAATTCGACCCTCCCATGGAAATTCCTTCATTTTTAGGTCATTTTGTGTGTGTGTGTGTGTGTGTGTGTGTGTGTGTGTGTGTGTGTGTGTGTGTGTGTGTGTGTGTGTGGCTTTTGGAAATTCTGCGTTCCTCAATAGGGGGGCAGGGGTTGGTTTAAAAATGCAATGTGCCAACATCAAAAGTACTTGAATCACTCAATTGTAAGATTGTTTGAATTCAATTTTCTCCTGCTGTTTTCTTTATAGTAAAGCCTGGTCTGAAGAGCATGATATGCTATTTCTCAGAGAAGTCCTTGTGAGTGACTTGTTTATGTACAGAAAGAGCAGTGTTGAACGTGGCCAAGTATGGGAAGATATTGCAGACAAGCTGAATGCTCTTGAATTCCCCAAATGTCATGTTAGTCAGCGTTATTTGAGGGATAAACTTAATAAACTGTTGAAGTGGTTTAAAAAGAAGGATCGCAAAGAAAGAAGGATCGCAAAGAAATAAGTGCATCAGGAATTGACCCAGAATTGGATGAAAAATCGGAGCTATTGGAAGAGATATTGGAAAAGATAAAGTCCACAGTACCAATAAACCTTTCTAAAAAAAAAGAAAGATGATGAAGATAAGCACACTGCTGAAGAAGTCCGAAAGTTGGCCATGGAAACCTTGGGAAATACACAGAAGAGAAAGGGTGAAAAGGCTGCAGAAAAAGTTGCCATTAAGAAAAGAAGAAGTGGGAACGAGGCTGTGGAATTTCTAAGGAAAGAGCCCAGCAAGAATATGAATTAAGAAGAGCTGAAATTGAAGCAAGGAAGCACTCAGATGAAGCCTCAAATAAGCATTTGGAGCAGCAACAGCAATTCCAGGCAACCCTTGTGCAGTTGTTGGCGCAACAGCAACAGCAATAAGACAATGCCCGACAACAAGAACAGCAACAGTATCAGAATATGTTGATGATGCAACAGCAACAGCAAATATTGACATATTTGCAACAGGTATCAAGAAAAACACAATGAAGTGACCTGTGCGCATAAACTGACTGTGTTAACTTTCTTGTTGGATATTTTCCTTGATTTTTATATTTAATTGACATTAATTAACAACTAAGGTTAGCAAAGTTCAGAAATAACCATAAGGATACTAAATGTGGGAATGGTAAGCATTGTTGCTTGCTTGATGCCCTTAAGCTTCTTACGTAACTGCTAAATTGCTAACATTTAGTTTTACCAACTGGTAGGATACACCAAGATTGATAAAGATAATATTTTTTAACTCACTGACACTGTAACTGTAAAAGAAGCTGTAAGTGCATTCCCCACCTCACTTGGTTTTTGCTGGACATTGTTGTGTAAAGTTTAAAGTTATGTACATTGTTATTTAACATGGAAGCACATGTATTGTTTATATTGGCTTTCAAATAAAATATTGTTGAAGTGTAGGTGGCTCAAGTTGAAAAAAAGTTGATGTTTGATTTCCATACAAACATGTGTGGGCATTTTGCAGTAGTGCACATGTCAAATACATTTTACCTACACTGCTAAGGCCAATCTTTAAGCTCTTTTTGAAGTCAACAAATTTAAAGTAATGGATTATATCTCCAAACAGCCATTCAACTGAGACTCTTGTGGAACTCATCAATGTATTAAAAAGCCTCATCTGTTGAGTTAGTTGTGCAATGCGGTAAGGTGCTTGAAGATGAACCCTAAGTGGGTAGGCTGGGTCCCCATAGAGACACATTGGTTGGTCATTCATTGAGTGTGCATTTAATTCCAACTGCCCCATCAGACCTGACTCTGCCAACATTCCCGAATCATGCCTTTTGCCTTCTGTAGAAATGTGAAAGAAGAAGTATATTACTAAATTAAATTTCCTCTATAAAGCAATGGTTAATTTCAGTAATGCAAGCGCGTTTTAATTCAGAAGACTTTACACTAACCTACTGGCCCATACATTTTGGCAATAAGACCATTTGGAATCACAACTGATTGGAACTTAAGAGCATGGACATGTTTGTGTCCATTATAAACTACACACTGATTCTCTCTTGGGCGAGAAATCGGTCTGACAGTTCCATCTATGAAACCAAAGCAGTTATTATGAATTGCTTCAGCATACTGCTCAAGTGCTTGAGGGTGGAGAATGGTATGATTCCATTGTGTGAGTCGATGGTTGAGTTTCGTAAAGGTGATTTATGACCTTGTTTGTGACCATACTCAACATTGGGACTGGACGAGCAAATCGAGGAATCATGTCACTGTAACGGCATGGATATGCCACTCTCTTTAGCAACATACACAACCCTTCTATGCCTCTGACTCGGCTTCTTTGCTCCGTAATGAAGTAAGCTGGGATTCTCAATGCTTCAGCAAGAAGTGGAATATGCTGCTTCTCAAATCGAAACTCTGCTAAGCATTCACTTTCGTCCATATCATCCAGGTTAAAAGGCATATACTCGTCATATGGAAAATCTGGATTGCAAGATTCATATTCAACAAGTAAAACAGCAAATTCTGCAGCCGAGATATAACCTAATCCAAAACACAATGTAGCGAGCTCTCAAATTTCCCTAAAGTACATGTTCTGTTGTTTACATTTCGAAACAATTTGACTGAATTTGAAAATGGCGCCATTTTTTATATATCTGGATTTTTTGTCGTCGTCATTTGCACTTGCTTAACAAATTACCAGCGATGATGCGACGACGTAGTGCCAATCCCAATCTGTGTCATCTAACGTCGTTGTCATCGCAAAAACGCATTTCCTTAAAGTCGCTAGTGTCAGTAATAAGACAGTTACAGACGAGCAAGTTTTCTATGTTATGACAAGTTTTATTTGCAAAGTGCACATGTGTATATGCAACAAATTTTGTATGACAAGTTAGCTACAATCTTTGCCAGAAACTATGGGACAGCTGCTGTAATTTCATATGTTTTGAAAGGAATAGCGCCCCCCGTTCCCCCAGTTCAATGTTGGGCCAACAAAAATCTGATGTCTGGATGCTCGGCGCCAACATTGAAACAGGTGGGGGGAGGGAGGGTGGAAAATATGTATCAGGAAATGGTATATTACAACCGAATGCATGTGAAAACTAGATTGTCCCATTCTATATTGTCAAAGATTGTCTGTTGAAGTAATACCATTACTCTTAAACTTAACTTAATTCAACTTGTAGACATCATCAAGCTGTGTACGCAGTTATATTTTCACAATTTCTTCACCTCTGTTAGGTCCTTTAGCAATTTCGTTGCACACAGATAATTTTCGTGTACTGTGTTATACAATGTTTGCGTATGCGTGTGATGGGAAATAGCTAAAATCCGGCTGCCTAATCGCGTATATTTAAAATCAGATTTAAAGGCTTGTAGTGCCACATTTTAGTCACAATTCATTGAATTCCATGCATGGTAACGGTATTGGGACTCTATTTAAAGAAAATTGACAACTGAGCCATCTGGTAGCAAGACTAAGCGCGTATATGTGACAATGAGATCAATATAGAAACGAATCTCACCATGAATCTCACCAAATTTTCATGGGCTCACCCACCATAAAAGCCTTAATAACAGACAATATCAAACAAATTCACCCTAGGCATTTAAAGTCCAACATATTTTATAAGACAGGACGATTTTACAAGTTCTCGTAATGAACTGACTAAGATACGAATGATTTTCTAGCAACAATTCTCACTTTCTGTCCTAAAATAGCCAATGAGATATAGATTTATTTACAGTTTTGTAGTGAGCTTCATTCAAAAACGAATGTAAAAAGGGATATCTGCAAAGTTAACCGATTGTAATTAAGGAAAATGGGTTCTTGTACCCATATGCATATAAAATGTAAGATAAGTAAAATTTATAGTAACGCAAATCAGCGTTTTAGACCGAGAATCGTTAGTGAGCATCGTGTAATATGAGACATATGAAATTTGACTACTGGCTGCATTATGAACTGTGCTATAAATCTTATACTGCAAATGAAATTTAGCTTGGAAATGGCCCCAGTTCTCAAGTATAAGTTTGTAAAAGGCGAAAACAATGCATATTTATTTGTCTTTCCCCGCAGTTTGAATGTTGTGAGATGAGATTTAAACCTACCCGACTCACAAACCGATTATTTCTGAATAGTTCTGTTCCAGGTTCGTCGTAATTATGGTCTTTTGCATCATTCCAAAGACAGCATGTAACTTTTGAGTAAATGTCCGTGGATTTTTCACAAGGAAGAGAGCTATAATGATATTAGACGTGAATATAAATGTCCTTATTAAGCATTATACCTAGTAGCACACGTACCTGTATTGGTATATAAAGTGTTAAAAATGACACACACACACCCGGAATGAATGGATAGTATCTAAAACTACCAAAACTTGCCCACATATGCTTCGATACTGAAATACATGTTATTGGGCGGTATAAACTTAAAACTAAAACGTTTAATTACCAAATCGGCAAACACCATTGATCACCACCAAGACAATCTTTGCCAGAAACTATGGTACAGCTGCTGTAATTTCATATATTTTGAAAGGAATAGCGCCCCCCGTTCCCCCAGTTCAATGTTGGGCCAACAAAAATCTGATGTCTGGATGCTCGGCGCCAACATTGAAATGGGTGGGGGGAGGGACGGTGGAAAATATGTATCAGGAAATGGTATATTACAACTGAATGCATGTGAAAATTAGATTGTCCCATTCTATATTGTCAAAGATTGTAGGCTAAGCATGCTAGCTTTTGAACAACTGCACTTGTCATAGAAAAAAATGTCAAATTTGCACATACAGACGAGCAAATAAAAACTTGTCACATAAAAACTTGTCATAGAAAACTTGCTCGTCTGTAACCGGCTTTATCAGTGACAGTGCACTGTGTTAAAAATCTTACTGATCTTTATTATTGTCTTATTAAGGAGTTTTACATTTTAACTTAAGTATACTATAACGAAGTTCAATTTCTAGAAAAAAGTGCATATTAAATAGGTATAAATTATAAATATAAACTTTGGTGTTAAACATATTTTTATATATTACAGTTGTAAGCAGAATTCAAACAAAACCAGAAGGACCAGGACATTTTGCAGCTTGCACAACCACTGACACTTCTTCTGTGAGTATTTTTAATATAACTATAGCCCGGCCAAAACACGTTTCAGCTACTTTTGATAGCCTGCATGGTCTGATTACTAATACGAGTTACATGTGTGTGTGTGTATATATGTATGTGTATTTATATTTATCAACCTCATTCATATATATTTATATATATAGTATTTATGTTACTGTTATGGATTGTAATAGACTCATTTACCCATGTATTTGATGTTCCAATATTGGGACTTTGTTTGAATAAATTATCATTATTATTTGGCGTTTTGCCCTCTATTCTCTATTACTATATGACATTATGTAATGTTTTTCCTGCTTTTTATTGGCAGATACAACCAAGCAATCAATATATATCTAATAATCTACAATACCACTACCAGTTTCACCTGCATGCACCTCCGTCTCCGAATATCATCCATCAACACCATCTCCTCGACCATCTCCATCACTACAGCCACATGCCCTATCCAGTTCTACACCCACATCGTGTTCACCTGCACAGCCACAGGAGTGTCAAGTCTCGGCAGCCATCCCACACCAGTTGAAATCAAAAGCTTCTGCAGCTGGAAATTTCAAAAAGGCTGAACGGATTTTGGTAGTTTCCATGTTTACCGTAGAGGAACGGAAACAGTCTATCCTTACAGGCGGTAAGGGCAAAAACAAACTGGACACAGAAAGAATGCTGCTTATTTGTGGTTAGTAAATTCAACATTAAAGGGGATCCTTTAAAACTAATAAAAGGGTAGACTGAAAATAATGTAAATGAACCAATATTGAAACAAGCATGCACCACCCTTTTAATGCCTTAATTATTTCATTTATAGATTTTTTACACCGTATTTATCCAAAAACATTGAATGCCTTCCAAGTCAATCGTGTAATTGGACAGGTATTGATAGAAACAAGACTTGGAAGACATCAATCACATGGCGAAACTGCAACTACCACATAAACTGGATTTGGAAACGTGACAATCCGTGTTTGTGAGCAATAAGTCTTATTTATTTAAACATGTTATCTTCTTGCTAACATTGACTTATAAAAGCTTGCATAATGTTTATATTTGATATTCAGTACACTGATTAACACCATGGTTAAAAATGTCTTGGTTAACCTAAAATTAACACTGTTGGGTGTAACTTAATGTTCCTTGTTAAATTTTGTGTTTAATTTAATCAGGATTCCTGGATATATCAACCAAGACTGTGGTTAAATTAACCAGGATATTTATTAACCAGGAACAATTAGTTAAATTAACCAAACATTTAGGTTATTAATAATATCAATTAGTCAATTTATTCGACTAATTGGTAAAACTGTGTTCCGAGTCAGCGGGAATTCTGCATTGAAAGTTAATTCCATAAGATTACTCTTAAAATTGAGTGCAAAGAAGTGTGTGGCTGACAGTGTTCTCTAATGAATACATCAATGCAATGCTTCTTGTAATTGAGTATTTGTATATTTGACTAAAACGACCATTAATATGAAATTACACTTCTTCTCGAAATATTAATGAAAAATCACACTTGTGTTCGGTGAAATATTTATAATATGAATATTTCGCCAAACATTGTGTTTCCTTTTTCACTAATTTAATCAAACCATGCATGTAGTTTAACCAGAGTGTAATTTTACTTTTTGGAGTAAGTATAGATGTTTGATTAACCCATTGAGTTGCATTGCACCCTGATGCACCCTACTTTAGTATTTTACTCTGTCTAACGCCAGACGATTTTACTCGTCAAGGGGAGAGCGCTGGCGCTTAATGGGTTAACTGGCCTATCTGCCCATGTGTCTAGTTAACCCATTGAGTTGCATTGCACCCTGATGCACCTTACTTTAGTATTTTACTCTGTCTAACGCCAGAGTATTTTACTCTGTCTAACGCCAGACGATTTTACTCGTCAAGGGGAGAGCGCTGGCGCTTAATGGGTTAATATATTGAAATTATAACAATGTGTTAAATTGTTTTTACCAGAGGTGTATTTTAAGACGAGCGATTGTAAAATACTTGTCAAATTTATAATATATACATTCACTAATTGTTTGTTAATTATACTATATTGATATCAGCTTTATACTATATTGATATCAGCTGAGGTAATTTAGTGCAAGATAATATAATGGCCTGACAGACTGAGCTGCTGAAATTTGCATGCTGAGCCAGGCACTGACACATCATAAGTTTTAAAACTCTGTTAAAAAGTCAGCTGCAATTATTTTGCGTGTAAGTACGCACAACAATAACATCCATCCAATTCAACCAGGCTAATAAACTATTGAATTGTGCATAAAATTCAATTTTCAGAAGCATTTACCGGTCAGGCAATAATTTCTTATTGCATGCATGCAAATAAATAGTCTGCATAAATATCATCATGCATGCATGCATGCACTCTTAGCATGCATGCATAAGTTTGCATGCACAGTGTAGGCAAAAAGTGCCAATTTGTATGAATGCCGCATTCATGCACTCAATTATTGCATGCATGCATTCATATTGCATGCATGTACTCGTAATGCATGCATGCAAACAATGCATGCACTCTCTGCATGCCTGCACATGCACTGCAGGCAAAATGTGCCAATTTGCATGCATGCGGCATGCATACTCACATGCATGCCACATGCATGCAGGCAATAGCTTGGAAGGGTTATTCTCGATTTATTTTAATTTTGGGATAGGTAATAGGACCTCTTGTTTGAGATCCCTCAGTCTGGGATCCCTTGTTTGTGGCTTACTTAACCTTCAATGGGGTCTGTAAACAGCAATAAACAAATGATCAATTAATTTGCCAGGTATAAAAAAATAAGTGAAATAAAGTAACTAGATTAATACAAAAACACACCACATTCCTGAAGACCATATTGCTCTGGAAAATTGAAAATGTGATTGGGAATTCCATCAGGTAGGGCTGTCTCTTTCAATGCAAGGAATTATGGTAGCGCTCGGCCGATAAAAAAACGGATTTTTATTTTATTTTAATTTTGTTTTACTTTAAATTTATATTTTGTTTTCGTTTAACTTTCATTTCATTTTTGTTTAACTTTCATTTCATTTATTTCATTTTTGTGTTACTTTCAGTTAATTTTTTATTTAATTTAAACTTAAAGTAGTTTTTTTTTAATTTTTTGTAAAAATATTAATTTATAAACATTTTTTTACAAAACAAATGGGAAAAAAACTGTTGGCAGTTCTCAGCCACCATAATGTTCAGCTATATAATGATTAACATTTAAATATTTTTAATATATAAATTTTTGCAGCTACCGGCAATTAAAGTCTGTCCATAATCCATAATCTTTAATGTGTTTGGAAATCATGTATATATATGCATGGGGCCCATTTCTTAGAGATATGGTAAATATCTCCTCATGTCTTCACATATAGCTGCAATGTTCAACTACTAAAATTGAAACTAGTGCTCCCATTAAGATTTATTTTTGTGCACTTAGAGTTTAAGGTTTAGAGTTTAGAGTTTAAGGATTGCACAGGACAACCTTTTTTTTAATTAGCTGTATACTAAAACAATTATTCACCTCAGGATCAGTGATTATTGTGAATAAAAATCTTGACTTTGTCTTGGTGCTCATTCACCGATAATCACATCACCTTTGGGGAACTGTTAAATACCTGCAAGTCTTAATAGAAACCCTATCTCTGATATTGTTTTAATTTGTTATGATTTTTACAGCAACCTCTTTATAAATGAATGGTCAGCAACATCATTGGGGAATGTTGGACCTGTTAAAGTACGTATGTCATGTGTTGTAGTTGTCAAATAGATTATTTTGGTATAATTTATGTCTCAACCAATTCCATGGGTGCCAGTAGAATAGTCACAGCTATATTCCCCTTAGTCAGCATTTTTTTGAAGAGCTCTTACCCCTTGGAATTAGTTTCCAGGGCATTCGTTAGGGCTGTTGCGCATGCATGTCAACTGGAAGGTGATTGAAGGGAAGTAATTGTAATTGGTTGAGAAAAACCAATCAAAAAGTATGTATAGATATAAGATTTGTTATGATTGGTTTGAAAGCTACTAATGTAAACCGGAATAAAAGAATTTTGTAAAATGGTTAGTCAGTTCATTTCTGTTCTTAAACTTTGCTGACCTAGCTGCTTGATTTCGTCCAACTGAGAGGTGAAGGAAACTATGGCACACCTATTTGAACAGCTATATGTCAATGAAATTGATTTTGAAGATATTACATCTGTCAAGTTGATAGACCTAGTTTTCACAGAGTTTGTCCATAGGCAGATATGTGAATTGGAAGAACTTAGACGATGTGCGATCTGAAGCGGATCCATGGTCAACAAACTATTGTGAAACGATAAACGACGGTGATTTGTGGTTAATGCATACAGATGAAGCAATTTCCATGATTGATTGCGACGACGTTTGGCATGCAATTATTGAAGCTTGTAAGATTTTAAAGTATTCTGAACCTTCATCAGAACACCGAAGCTATTTGGAGTCTTTGTACGGCGTACCATGGTTTACATTAAAGACAATATCTTTTGAATTTGAAAGGACTCATAGTTTTATGTATCTTATGGACTATACCAGTTGCATTTGTAAATTAAGATATCATTGAACTGTATAATTTATGATTGTCATTAACGATGTTTATAAGCTCAATAAATCCTTTTTGTGTTCATTTTGTTTGTGTTGGGATTAGTAAAAGTCATCAAAATGTGTTGTTGCTATAGTAAACAGATAAGTGATAAGAGGGATAAAAATCATGATAGACAAAAAATGTTTCGATTTGGTACGACCTTATAAATCTGATGTAAAATATCATTGAACTTTGTAATGACCTTAGTAATAAATGATTTTAAAACGGGATGTATTGTGATTCGTTTATTCAATTGATATTGATGCTTGTTGTAATAACACCTCAATAATAGGTACTTTTCACAGTAAGGGGGATAAAATTAAAAGAGACAAAAATCATAATAGACAAAAAATGTTCAGATTTGGTATAAGCTTTGGCCATAATGATTTAAATTTGGAGGGTTACTTACAGATTTCAAATATCTTTGAGCAACTTGGAAAAAAACGTTCAATTAGCTAAGCTGTTTAGTTTTTTTCATGTCTATTGTAGGTTTAAACTACTTTTGATTGAAAGCGAAGATCATTTGTCGGTCTGTGAAGCTGTTCTCAATGCCATGTGCTGCAATGCTGAGCCTTGGAACCATGATGCTGGACCAGCTGCTGCCATTGAGGGAAACAATGTGCCACATCATAAAGGGTCTTTCCTAACAACCCTTGGTGACAGAGAGGATGGAAAACGTAGGTGAAACGGCGCAACGGCAACCAGACGCCCTATCAAAACGCCAAGAAGTCACAGCCTACCTCTCAGAGCCAGTAGTGAACTTAAGCAAGCACTTTAGGAGAAATAGCTTTGCTAGACTAATGTTATTGGACAGTTACAACGATGGTTTGATAGACGAAGAAGAGTTGGCGATGTTATTTGATTTGAATACATCAAAAAATCCTGTTTTTCTGTAGGCTGTTGCGGTATTTGAAAAAAAACGAAAACTGATACCGGAAAAAAAATACCGATAATACCGATATTTTTTCGCGATTGTAATTTGTTTAATTTTATGCCAAATTTGCTTAATTTTATGCAAATTTTCTGTTTTCAAATAACGTCAAACAGCCGCGGCATATTGGGATACAACAACAGATGTTTTACTATTTTTGTAACTTGTATTTATTAAAAGATGTTTAACAATATAGTTCTATTTACAAATTTTCTGCCAGAAACACAAGCATATTTGCTTGTTCTGGCTTTAGCTGAGACCTTTGTGCGGTGACAATCTGACCGGCTTTACTGAACAGTCTCTCAGACGGTGAACTGCTTGCAGGAATTGACAGATATTTTCGTGCCAACTGACTGAGCATTGGGAAGTCTCGACCGTGGCATTTCCACCACAACAAAGGATCATTGTCGCCATCGATTGTGTCTGTATTCACGTATTTCTTCATCTCCTTTTCCAATCGATCCCGTGGCGACTGCGCTGGCGATGACACTTGAGATGATTTCCGCATGCTAGTGATGGAGCCAAGCGTCTTCTTGACTTTCTTCTGTGGTGGTTGGCATGGTTCATCTTCAGATGCATTGCTTGTGATGAACACAGCTTCCTTTAAAAGAGCATTCTTGACAACAGCAAACTCGCTTGAGCTTGACTCGACCATCGATTCAACATCGCAATCTTCGTCGTTGTCAGTAAAAAAGTCGGTCTGCAAAATATATATAATATAACAAATATTAGAATTAGTAATTAATTACCAAC